TTGGTTTCAAAGCCACCTCAGCTAGCAACTCCTTGGTAGGACAGCAGAGGAAAAGTGAATTTACAAAGCCCCGCCCACCGGGCCCACCTCGGCACTGGCCGAGATGACTGTGATCTGGAAACGTGCACCATCCAAGCTCAGGAAGTCTGCCAGGGAAAGGGAGCTTTCTGAAAGAGGCCCCAATATGCTAGGCACCGCGTAGGCCTCCAGTTGAAACCAAGCGCTCCTGCCCTGTGGCTGAGGGTGCTGCAGGGCCGGGGTGGGGGACCTGCTGGACAGAACACAGACCCAGGTCCTGACACTGACTTCCAGGGCACAGTACGCTTCCCCAGTGAAGTCCTACTGCAGAGTCCTGGTGCCCCACAGTGGGAGAAGCCACTGTGTGCAGGGTGGAGGTGACTTCAGATAGGGGCGGTGCCTCAGGTGGCAGTGGGTTTCCAGAGAGGAAATGGCTGCACACAGCTCCCAGGACGATCCAGCACCTCCCCTGCAGGGCTATGCAAGAGGTGGGCAGGCAGGTGGCACCCTGTGCTCCACCCAGGATGCCCATGTTCCTGCTCCTGGTGAAGCTCTAGCCAACTCAGTCACGTCTTTCCCTCTCCATGTCCTCACTCAGGTACGCTGTGACAAGCAGGCAGGGGGGAAGACTTCAAAGGACACAGTGAGGAAGGCTCAATACCTCTTATGTCTGCTCTGAAGAACCAGGTGCTCTTTAAAGGTAGAATTGGAATGTTCTCTAAGACCAAGACCAGCTGACCCGAGCAGTGAAGAGCAGAGCCCTAGCTGACAGCCCAGCTGGCACATGCTTTGCTGCTGCAAATGGACAAGCCCCCAAAGACCAGTGTCTGCTCTGTATTTTGAGACACTTGATGCAAAGAAGAGAACTCTGTCTGCTCTTAAGTGACAAAACGCAGGAGGACATAGTAGACCACATTTAACACTCAGGATGACACCGAGTACCCTCAATGGAGCTGTCGTGTGAGCACTGCACAAGATGACAGAGACCACCGTTCAACAACAGACTCCTGGACTATGCCCCTTAGCAATTTAGTTTACGCAGCTATTGGGGAGCATTCACATTTTAGGGAAGCACTCTAAGATGGAGATTGTACTCTCTGGCTTTGTGCAAAGTAGTCCTAAAATGAGAAGAGTCAGTAACTGGTGACTTGAGGCTGTGTCCCCAGAGCTACAGGAAAAGTAAAACACAAAACGAAAAAAGACCTCAGTTCAAGAACTCTACGCGGTGTGTGTAGAAAGCTTAGCCTTTGTAACCAGGATGTGCACACAGGTCAACACGAGGGACGGTGCCCATGTAGGAAGCCCTACTTGTTCTTCCGAATCTTTGTGCCTGTGAGACCATAGTCCATGGTGAGCATCAACAGATGATGGCCAGCACCCAAGCCCTGCGGTTGCCCGTTTGTGTTCATCCAGTTTTCTTGGATGAATACAAACCCCATGGCCGCTTTCTGCACCAACACAACGTTGGTAGGTTGCAGAGACTCAAGTGGCCTGCAGGGCTGGAAAGCTATCCTCTGTTCCCTATGGCAGAACTTTGGCGACTCCTCGTCTGTGGGTTATTGTAAGGATGAAAATGATTCAGCACTGTGCTTGGCACATGGGAGCTCTTTTAATAAGACTGATATGCTGAAAATCAAATGTGGTTTCAATGGTCGAATCCTGTGGATCCTGAACCATTTTACAAGAAGCTCTTGTTCAAAGTGCTTCGTTTAGGAGAAAGCCAAGAGTCTCCACCTGCTCTTGATGGAAAAATGGCCACAGACAAATGTAGCTTGAAAGGGCTCTGGGGCACTACTAGTCATCCATCAGGCTGGCAAAGCTCCTGAGTCCACAGCATGCTCTGCCACTCCTGGGCACTGCTGCTGGGAGTCACAGGCACAGTGGCACAGGCCTGTGATCCCAGCTACTGGGAAGGCTCAGACAGGAGGACCGCAGGTTTGAGGCCAGCCTCAGCAACTTAGCAAGGCCTGTCTCAAAATGTTATATGCTTAAATGTAACAAAATCCAAAGGAGCTATATGAACTAGACCACTGGTCAAGTACATCAGTGCTGTTTCCTGAGGAGACAGCCCTCGTCAGTGGAATGCTTCAAGCAAGCCATTCCTGGTGCAGGGTCTCACAGTACACGAACCTGCAATCCATTGACTTATGAGGAGATGTCACATGAGCTGTTTAAATTTCTTGGATATAAAACGGGATGTTGCAAAGTTAAATGCTCCCTGAAACAAGAGGGAGAAAGAAATGAGTAAGAAGCCTCATCTATTGCAGAGTCGGGACTGGTGGGAAGAAAGACCTGGGGTCTCCTGGGTCTCTCTGCATCACCTGTACCCACATGGTTCGTGTCCCTGAGACTATTAGCAAAGTGGATGCTGAATCAGATCCCGGATTTGCAGGAGGGTGGCTGGACCACTCTCCCCGCTGCATGAGCTCACAGAGCATGGCCACCTGCAGGCTAGAGAAGGCAGACCACCCGCATACCCTGAGGTGGGACTCACCACTAGTGCAAGTCACAAGGAGGGGACTGCCTGTGACACGCCTTCCTCACACTGGAGGCTGCCCTGCACCTGCTGTGAGCTCACATCAAAAGCTGATACCGTGACCACCAGGGAAGGGAGGCCAGAGCCCAGGGGGAGATGGTGCTGATGTTCCCTAACAGACTTCGTGACATACTATGGCCTGGAGCCATGTCAAGGTCACATATTCAAAATGACACTAACCACGAGGAACAGTCTGTTGAAACTAAACGGAATTACATATAAAATTTCAGATACGGTCACACAAAGAGAAGAAAACAATTTCAAACTACGGTGGTTCTCTGCCTTCTGTTGGCACATTCTGAACAGGACGCCCATTGGGCCAGCGGCCAGCTTTCAAAACCTCCTCCAGCCACCTTGGCGTTAGTGGGGACATTAGTATGATTTTGAAAAGATATAAAACGAAACGAGGGAATTTTATTAAGAGTGAAGATTTTTCAGTGGCAAAGAGTGAAAAAGGTAGCTTCAGAGAGGTTGAAAATTCTGCAAGGCCACGTTTGCACTGGGAACACTGTGTGAGCTCAGGATTTAGTCTTCTTCAAAAATATATTTCCCAGCTCCATCTGTCGGCAAGGCCCAGAAAGGACGGCTCCCAGTCGTGACGTCCATCCCTGGTGTCTAGAGAGTGGTTTCAAAATACCACCCCCCAGCAGGGAAGGCTGGGCTCCAGGAGGGGCCCTGATCACAGGTCCACAGCGGAGGGTGGAGGAGACGGGAAGAGCCAGCTGTGCCAGGACCCAGGACCTCGAGGACCAGGAGGACCAGGAGGACCAGAGGGTCTGTGCCAAAGGGCAGGAAGTCACGAGTCCCTTCCCAGGCTGCAAGTGGAACCCTCAAAAGTCCCACAACAGAGAGGTTAGACACCCGCCCCCCACAAAGGGCAGCACAGAGGTCGAGTCCTGGCACCAGATTCTACAAGACAATGGGCCAGGCTCCTCCAAGCTTATGACTTAAAGAAAAGCAAGACAAAGGGATTGGTGGGGGCAGGGGACCGCTGATCAAATAAGGAGGCTTAAAGGAGGTCCTAATGAGGAGGGACGTGTGGCTTCTGGTGGCCTGCAGATTCAAACCAAGGAAAAGGACATTTTCAACATGATGGGGAAATGTAAATATCAACTGGGTCTTTTTCGCCTGTTTCTAGTGCTGGGGATGAGCTGGCCTCGGGTCTGCAGGGCAAGCTTCTGCCACTGGGCTGCTTCAGTGCTGTGGCCAGGGACTGGGCTGAAGTTGTACTAGGGCTGGTTGTACTGCTGCGGATGACAGTGGGCTAGGGCTCAGGGAGAAAATGCCTGTTGTTCTCACCTACAGAGGAAAGGGTGGCGTGAGGTTCGACGCTAGGTGTGGATGTACGACCTCCACTGTCTCTCTCTATTTCTGTGTGTGTTTGAAATTCCTCATCACATGACGAAGAATCGAGAGAGAGAGATTTCACACTGGAATGAAGCTGGACCTGTTTTCCCCTCATCAATTTTTTTTTTTTTCGGTACCAGAAATCAAATCCAAGGGCATTCAGCCACTGAACCACATCCCCAGCCCTTTCTTATTTTTTGAGACAAGAGACTCGCTCAGTTGCCTCAGCCTCCCAGGTCACTGGGATTGCAGGTGTGTGTCACCGCGCCCGGTACAACCCCCTGGGATCTGGTCATGCAGAGTCAACCTCTGTTGACACCCTGAACTAGTGACAAGAGCTGGAGGGAGACCAGGTCATGATGGTGCCGGTGAGAGAGGGAGCGTGTAGGGACATGAGTAAATCCTGGAATCACTTACTCAGGGGCAAAGGACTGCTGTCAGAGGTGACTGACTCTTCTGTTGCCCGTACAGAGACGACGCAGTTTTTACTATTTTATTTTGACCACTCTGTGAACTTGAACATCCCCAAAAAAGAACATTTTCAATACAGTGAAAACAACTAGTGAATATATACTTTTAGAGTAAAATAAAATTACAACTACTTTTCTCTCTTTTAATAGCTGCATCTCCATTGAAAGCTCAGTGTTAAGACCCTAAATCCCAAAGGGAAGTGCTGCCTGCCACCTGCCACTCGACCCCCAGGAGGGGGTTTGGGACCTGTCCCGGCCCCACCTCCACATCTTTGATGTTATAATGACTCCATATTCTTTCTTTTGGGGACTCTGGTGTAGGAACACTTGTAGCTGCACAAGGTGTGACTCAGCATTGAACTTGGAGCTGACAGGAACTGCTTTCATAACTGGGAGAAGAGCAAGGCTTGCTGTCAGCCACTCCCAGTTAACCTTGATTTCCACTCTGCGTGCTGGGGTGGTTTATAGAGCAAAGCTCTGACTGTGCAAAGGCACTGAGGCTCCCAGAGGCAAGGCAATGTTGTGCCAAACAGTGGCGGCAACACAACTGACTTATATTCAAAAGACCTCTTGGAATAAAACAGGACAAGACAAGCAGCAGGAGGTGGAGACGTGCTGACCTGGCTTACCTTTCAAAGCCGATCTGCCGAAACGTCTTTTCCCACGTTGAGCCTGCAACAGAGGAAACAAGGTCAGTGCCCTGCTCACTGGCTCTGTCCTGCTGTGGCACGCTCTTGCTGGGCGCTTGCTTTGGCATCTACATGGAATGACCTGGTTTCACTCCACAACCCAACTCTGCCGATGGCCTTAGTATATTTTTGTTTCCCTCAATTTATTTAGTGTTTGATTGACAATATTGACCATATTATAGGCAACAGTGTGATGTATCCACATATATATATGCATCATGTAAAGATCAAATCAGAATAATGAGCATATTCATCACGGAAATATTTCTCACTTTTTTTTTTTTGCGGTAAGAACTTTCAAAGCCCTCACTTTCGGCTATTTTGAAATTTACCGTAAGTTAATGTTAGTTAGAATCAGCCCACTGTGCAAAATGACATCAGAATTTATTTCTTCTATCAAACTATGATTCTGTGCCCTTGACAGCTCTCTCTCCATCCCGCCCTCCCCTCCGCCCTCCCAGTTGCTTCTTCTTCCAAGAGATCAGATTTTCTAGATTCCACAAATGGAGAAGACACAGAAATGGACAAAGGAGAAAGATCAAACACAGTCATCCGCCAAACACCCAAGGATGCCCAGCTCAGGTCGGGTGAGTAAGCCTCTCTTGCGAAAACCCCAGTGCACTGTGCACCAAGCACTCCAACCCTCGGCCTGCCATCCGTGGTGCATATTCCCCTCCAGGTGACACCCTCAAGTCCAACCCACGCACCACACCTTCCTCTTACCAGGGCTGCACCCGGGGACCGGCATTTTCATTCTTTAAATTTTAAACTGTTTTTAATGGTCAAAAATGTAAAAACGCTATCCAGATCATGTGAGGAGTAATAAATCCAAATCACAAGAGCAAAGAACACCTGGGTATAAACAATTGCCACAATTTTTCCATTCCTCCATAAGTGACAGGCACATAATAATTTTCCAGGTAGTCGATAGACAGAGAAGCACTAATTTTTTATCAAAGAACATTTTAATAAAAATGTTTCATGTTCACATGTTAAGGATTTGGGCTAATTCGAGGGCTTTACATTTTCCTGAGGCCTAGCCAGTGGCAAAACTATTTTGATTTCAGCAACTATTATTCTAACAGATTGTGCATGTTACCCTAAATTCATAAGTTGTGCGCGTTGATTGATCATCAGAGCAAATCATCACTGCCTTTCTGTGGACGATAATTCTGCTAGCAGGAAGTGGAAGATTCCGGCTTAAGCCTTCAGAGGTAGCTAAGAAGTGACCCTGCTTCTTTTCTGAAATCAGAAACACTGGGCAAGTGTTTGGGTGCCTCTCTTAACTCTACCTCAAGTGCTCCATCTTCTGGTAGCCACGCAGACACCCTCAGACATGGGCTCCTGGGAAAGCAGGAGCTTATACAGGGGGGGTGGCCCCAGGCAGCCTGAAGTAGCCCCAGGAAAGATGCAAGCAGTCACAGCGAGCTGGAGTTTTACCCCAGGGTTTGGGTCCCTATGAGTTGGTCACGTTGGAGTGTTTCAAATCACCTTTCTAATAAAAGGACAAAATTTCATATATGCATTACACACACACACACACCAAATTTAAAGCAGAGTTGGCTTATTTTCTTGGATGATGTCATTCTTCCAGCTGAATTCCAATATGTTTTTCTGAGTAGGAATTAAAGACACAGACTTTGAACTCACCAGCCCAGGAATTTTTTTTTTTTTTTTTTGGCCTCTGGCCCAGAGAAGCAGGTCCCCTATGAACATCTTGTGTCTGGTGAGCTTTATGCTAAGCCATCAAAAGTCCCTATTTCAAGGATTCTTGCTCCTAAAATCCTAGCCATCAAGACAGATAACTTGTCAGGCAAAAGCCACGTTGTATTCAAGGCCGCTGGGCTCTCTCTGCTCCAAAGTAAGGAGCAGGAGAGGAGAGTCTCCCATCAGGGCAGAACCAGATGCTGACCTCAGGCCAGGCGAAGCCCGGGGAGGCTGCGGGGAGGGATGGGATGAGGGAGGAAGTCTAGATGCCACGTCTTTAGACCCTAGCTTCTGCAGGGAAACAGGCACCTTTTAAACTGCTCTGTGTTTCCATTGCTTTCCTGGATCTTCTCATATTCTCCAATTCCATTTAAATTTTAAGAAAACTCTTTTCTTAGCAGATTCAATGTATTATCAATATGAAATTCAAAAATAAATGATCCTGCTACACTGTTATATATTTGCTATTTGATGTTTTGAACATGGAGCCTTGATTAAGAAATAGGCCTTACGTTCCTGGGGCGGATAAATGGGAATTGTTCAGACAGGAAGCACACGGTCTTGGTGCAAGGCTTAGAGGCAACTTGGTGAAGCCCCTCAGCCAGGCCCAGTGTAGATGGGAGAGCGACCCCTGCGGGCACCCGAGCCTCTTGCACAGCGACAGGCTGCTTTCTGCACACACCTTCCTAGCTTCCCCAGGTGCCAGGGGCATATTAAAACCTGCCTTCAGCCCTTAAACCCACAGTGCCCCAGAGCTGTAGACTTTTATGTCCTGGGTCAGCGCCGCCTCACGATGAAATGAGAGACAGGCTGTAAATGGAACAGACGTATCCAGATCCTTTGGCACCAAGAGTATTTTTGGCAGCTCATTACGGACTTGCTGGGGAATTCTTTAAAGCCATTAACTGTGCTCCACGTGGTAAGGTAATACCACTCTCCTTTGCCAAAGCAGCCCGACTCTCGGAGGAAAAGCGGAGAAAACAAAAGTGGCTGGCAGACTGCCTGGACCGGACACTCGAAGAGAGATTTACCACGCCCTGCACCCGCACGCGCTTCCCGCTTCAAGCAGCACCGCTTCCCGTGGTCAACTGCCATCTGAACCCTAAATGGAAAACCTCTGGAACAAAGAAAGACTGGGAAGCTCGGGCTCACTCTCATCACAGCATATGGCTACAATTGCTCTGTTTCATTATTAATGATCGCTAATTACTGAGCCCGACTGGCAGGTGAGACCCTGCACACGCCTGCATGTTGAGGATCGAGGCGTATCCAGGGCTGGGCGGTCCCTGGTTTCAGGCAGGCCCCACCGTTGGGAAGAGCCTGCTGTCCCTGCAGAGGGGTGAGGGGTCTGTGGTGAGGAGCAGGATGCATGGAGGGAGACTCCTGCGGTGCTCAGAGATGCTTCCTCCTCCTGTCCTGGGCGAAGAGCTGGAAACCACGAGCTAGGAGTCTTCGCTTCCCAAACCGGCTGCACAAGGCAGGAGGAAGAAGACACTGTGCAGCACCAGTCCCCACCCTCAGAACTGACGGGGGTCCATCTCCAGACCGAGTGCCACTCAGCTGGCCGAGCAGGTTTTAGTGCCTGGTCTCACATGTCCTGGGCACCAACACCTTTAACACCCACAACTCCCACAGGGGCTGACCCGCCAGCACACGCGGCCTTATCTCCCTGAAAGGATCTATCGGCAATGCCCCCCTCTAAGTGTGAACAAAGCTCTGTCGTTCTTTTCTCTCTCCTCCTTTCTCTCTATCATCTATCAATCTATCATCTATCAATCTATCTATCATCTTTCACATATGTGTCTATTATCTGTCATCTATTATTTACCTATTTCTCTATCATCTGTCATCCTTCATCTGTCTACATGTCTATCATCTGTTATTGATAATCTATCATCAATTATCTACCTACCTACCCCACCTACCTATCATCTATCCACTGAAGAAGTCAGCCAGCGTTGCTAACCCTGGTTCGAAATCAGGGCTCTGGTGTGAGAATCTCAGAAAGCACTGAATGTGGACCATGAAAGTCAGAGCAATGCCTTGAGATCCACATGTTGGATGCTGGTAGTGGTAGCATTCTTGGTAACTTGTAGCCACTTTGAAAGTCAAGAGAATGGACATTTCCCCCAAAGCAGCATAACGATGAAAACAGGTATGCTTATTAGTCCCCTACAGACTGCTAACTTCATATATATTAGCTAATTTAACCTTCTCAAATACTCTGTGGAATCCATACCATCATTCCACCTCCTTTTCAAGTGAGCAAACAGGGCCGGTAGGTGAGGAACTGCAGGGCCCCTTTCCTTGACCCCCTTGCTTACTCTCCTGCCATATGCTGGCTGCTGCCTTCTTCCTCCTGCTTTGTCTGGGGGGTGTCCTCTGCAGTTCATGTGTGGGAAATTTAATCCCTCAATTCACGTGCTGATGCCTTTTGGAGGGGGCTTTGGGGATAAAGAGGATTGAATGAGGACATCGTGGTGGGCCTCCATGATGAAAGAGAAGGAGACCAAAGCTAGCACGCCTGCTCTGTCTCACCACTCTGCTCTGCCCTCAGCCAACATTCCAGTGCAACAAGAAAGCCCTCACCAGCTGCCAGCACCATGCTCCTGGACATCCGGGCTTCTAGAGCCAAGGGCGAAATGAACCTTGATTCTTTGTAAATTACCCAACCTGTGACATTCCATTATAGCAACAGAAAACAGACTAAGACACCTTCCTTCTTCATTTTCCTATCATTTGTCTTCCACCCCCATCTGGTTATAATATGGAATTAAAAAAAATTATTCCCCAAAGTGTTGTATGTCTGCTTATTAATTTTAGAGGTATGTGAGAGCCATGGTTGATGCTACCTGTCATCAATCCCTTTTTCATATCAGCTTTCATCTAGTTTTTAAACTTCAGTCAGCTTTGTTTAACATGCTATATGCACAGCAGGAGTGCAATCAGCACAAATAAATGTACCCAGATGAAAGGTCGTGTGTGCAGTGACACCTTTGCAGAGGGTTGATTATTTTTTATTTCTTTTGATTTTTCTGCAGTGGTGGTTTAAGCCAAAGGGCTCTGCTTGTTACTCAGATGTGAATTCTAGCAAGAGTTCTGTGGCTGGCCTCCTGTGGTTCCCTAGACAAGCTTCCCTTGTGTCTCTCCACTTCCTGAACATAACACTGAGAGACTTTCAGCAAGTTCTTTTCAGTCTGCAGTCTTAGTTTTTCCAAAGTGTTATCAGTGGGAAAGCAAATTCTCTGTCTTCGTGTTCTGAATTGGCCATGTGCC